AAATACACACGTTGCAAGGACATTGGCCTATTCACTATTTACTGAAATATAACGTAAATACACACGTAATGGGAAAATTGGCCTTTAACATCTACTTTTTCAGTCAAAAGAAAATACACACTTTGCGGGGACATCAGCCTTTCTTATCTATTTATTATAATAGGCAATAAATACACACTTTGCGAGGACATTGGCCTATTTCACTATTTATTGAAATATAAAGTAAATACACACGTAATGGGGACGTTAGCCTTTAACATCTTTTTTGCAGTCAAAAGAAAATACACACTTTGCGGGGACATCAGCCTTTCTTATCTATTTATTACAATAGGCAATAAATACACACGTTGCGAGGACATTGGCCTATTTCACTATTTATTGGAATATAAAGTAAATCCACACTTAATGGGGACATTTGCCTTTAACATCTTTTTTTCAGTCAAAAGAGAATACACACTTTGCGGGGACATCAGCCTTTCTTATCTATTTATTATAATAGGCAATAAATACACACGTTGCGAGGACATTGGCCTATTTCACTATTTATTGGAATATAAAGTAAATACACACGTAATGGGGACATTTGCCTTTAACATCTTTTTTTTCAGTCAAAAGAAAATACACAGTTTGCGGAGACATCAGCCTTTCTTATCTATTTATTTTAATAGGCAATAAATACACACTTTGCGAGGACATTGGCCTATTTCACTATTTATTGGAATATAAAGTAAATACACACTTAATGGGGACATTAGCCTTTAACATCTTTTTTTTAGTAAAGAATATACATATGTGGCGTGTTTGGGTTCGGAAGACTTAGGCCAAGAAATACTACAAGTTTTCATGTAACTCAGATGTGTATCAAGCTCAATTACCAACTGAATCAGCGCTTCCACAAATGAGAATGCGGGTTTCCTTAAACGAGGCTGTAATTTCCTCAAATTTCCTCAGACGTCATTTGAAATTTCCTCGGATATTTTCTTGAAAGTTCGAAACTTAATTTAGAGTGAACATAACAATTTTCGGTAAATTGAAGCTTTATTTCAGCTATAAGCTTATCGCTCATGTCTATAAGTATGCCGTGCATCTGATATTTTTCGGTATCAAAATATGTACCAAGAATTGCTAGCTGACTTTGTGTAGATCGATCTTTTTTCTCGTCAATGATCAAGGAGATCGTGTTACCTTGTAGCTTTTGGCAACCTTCTTTTAAAAAATAGAACTTGATGTATAAGGTTAGTTGTCTTCTGTTTTCCAAGTGAGACTCTGCTTAATGTCTTGTCCTTGGGATATATTGATAGGCAAATTTTTTTCTGCAATGAAACTAGCAATTTTAAGTTCCATCCTTGCAGCTTCCTTGTCACTTGGGCCAGGCAAGGAATCAATTTTCTTGTTTGTTGTTTCCAATGTTGCTGACCTTGCCATAACTTCTTTATGGGCAGAGTCTTGATATATGGCTAGAGCTGTTTTAGAGCAGCATACTTTTATCTTACCCTTTTGGCACCAAGGTTGAAATTTGCCACTGTCATTAGTTATCTTCTTTAACCATTTCTTGAATATAGGGATTGTTAAGCCATGAATCATGAAACTTTTGTTCATATTACTTTTTGGAAGGCTTTACCTTCGCTTCAACATAATTACGTTTCATTTCTACTCGCTTAACTCTACCATTTTTTAACCAAAGAATGGTGGACTGATAAAAAGAGTTAACAGTAGCTAACCTACGCCAAAAACACAGCAGTCCAAAAGGATTATCTGAGAAAATTTTCTTTAAAACACTCATGTGCATAAGGAAATTCACATATCAAATCGATTTAACAAAGCTGTTCTGACGATCCAACAGCGAGGAATCACAAAAAAATTAAAATAAAGAATGAAATTTAAAATTTCCTCAAAATTTTCTCAAAATATCAATTTCCTTAAAAATTTCCTTAAACGGACCAAATTTCATTAATCTGAGGAAATTTCCTTAAAAGTGGAAGCACTGACCTGAATATAATTTACATAAAAGTTGTATATCTGTTTACATGTAATTCTGGTTTACATCAATCACCGTGGCAAACACAAACTGTACAGACACAGCTAGACAACATAGTTACAGGACAGCAAATCAAAGTTATGAATTAACACATACTAACATGGCACCAAAACCCAGCTAGGGCAAACATTACACATACTTTACGGGGACATCAGCCTTTCTTATCTATTTATTATAACATGCAATAAATACACACTTTGCGGGGACATCAGCCTTTCTTATCTATTTATTTTAATAGGCAATAAATACACACTTTGCGAGGACATTGGCCTATTTCTTTTTTATATATAAGGCTTGTAGGCCGAAATGGCCCATCGCCAACACAATTACCATACATACAAGTTGACATAATTACAAATTAATAATAAATCTCAGAACATAAGTACAAATTAACAATGAATCTCAGAAAACAGCAAACAGAATTACTATACTTACAAGTTAACATAATTACAAATTAACAATAAATCTCAGAAAACAGCAAACAGCTAATACAAAGATAAACAGATAAAAAGATGATGACGAGCTGGAAAGTTTACGTTACGAGGATATGCACGTAGAGGACTTCCCAAAAGATTCCCGTGACTCAAAAGCCAGCGATATAAAATTGGCTATCGATATCAGACAATCCGTATCTTCTTGACTCATCAACCAAATAAACTTATCACAAAGGTCAAGGGATGATATTCTGGGAAATTTTGAATAAATCATAGATAACATAGAATTCCTAGCAGTCTCGTAAAGGGGACAAACTAATAAAAAATGAATTTCGTCCTCCACAGCAGTTTTATTAAAAGATTGACAATACGGACATTTTCTATCAATCCTAGGAATAGGATTCTTCCCCTTATCTACCTGTTTCAATCCTGAGGTTGTGGGCACTAAGACGTAGTTTTGCAAAGTTGGATCTTTTCTTTTTGCTAGGTATCAAGTCTAAGTAATGCTCAAACTTATAAACAGTTTTGAAAGATGCGTATGTACAAAGCTTTTTATTGAGAATAGCTTGTTCTTTTAAATTTTCCATAATTTTTGACCTAAAATGGGAAGACACTTTTGATTTCACGATAGTGGAGTTATCGGTTGTATGTATTCTGTAAAGGGTCATCAGGGAACGGGCAATACTGACCCAATTAGAAACACCGGAATCTGCATCATTAATTAACATTTGAAGAGCTCTGTATGCATATCTGGAGGAATCAAGATTTATTAAACGAATATAAAATTTTAAGATATTAATGTGTCTATGTTCAAGCAACGAACAACGTCCCAACTCCGCATAAACCCCAAGAGACGTTGTAGATCCTTTAACACCTAGGGTTGACTTGCAAGCCATAAGATGAATTTTTTCCAGGCATTCCCATGTACCAAATCCCCATACGTCAGTGGCATAATTTAGAATAGGAAGTATTGTACTGTCAAATAAAAATAAAAACAGTCCTGGGTTGAAACCATCCCATTCGTTGCTTTTGGATAAGAGAGCAAAGTAAGATTTTTGAGCTTTTTGCTTAATTATATCAACATGAGCACTGTAGGAACCATTAGATTTAAAAGTAACTCCAAGGTATTTGTACTCATTGCATTCTTTGATCTCTTTATCACCAAATTTCCAAATTTTGCATGCCTTAGATCTTTTCTTGTTTTTTCTTATAACCATTGTCTTGGTTTTGGAAGTATTTATCTCCATATTAATGGACAAGCAGAACTGGTTTAGCTCGTTCAACTGGGATTGCAGATCATCAGCAGAATTAGCTAATAAAACTAAGTCATCAGCATATAAAAGGGTGCAGATATTTCCATCACCCTTTTATTTCCATCACTATTTCACTATTTATTGGAATATAAAGTAAATACACACGTATTGGGGACATTAGCCTTTAACATCTACTTTTTCAGTCAAAAGAGAATACACACTTTGCGGGGACATCAGCCTTTCTTATCTATTTATTTTAATAGGCAATGAATACACACTTTGCGAGGACATTGGCCTATTTCACTATTTATTGGAATATAAAGTAAATACACACTTTGCGGGGACATCAGCCTTTCTTATCTATTTATTATAATAGGCAATAAATACACACTTTGCGAGGACATTGGTCTTTTTCACTTTTTATCGGAATATAAATTCCAAAAACTATCAAATTCAAGCCAAAAAAATACCGCAAAGTTTAAAAACTCAAAAAATGACGGAGATTTTCCGACCTCTCCCCCCCTCTTCCCAAAAAAATTAAATTTTTAGTATTGGGTTGTCCCACTCAGTAGCGAAGCCACCGGGGATAATTACCTCCCCCCCTCCCACATTTTGGAAAATATGGTTATTGAGATCCGCCCAAAAATGTCATGAAAATCCTTAGTTAGGGCAGGATTCATATAAATGATCTCATCTGTCAATTTTTTCTAAATCTTTGTGTAAAAGGTGCATTTTCTTTGTTTGAAATAGAGTTCCTTCCTGAGATCTGAAGCACCCTGAAATTTTTCTGCGGCTTCGCTCCCTGTCTCCTTTACCCTCCAATTTTGAGGCCGCTGGCGCCCCTGCTGCCCTCAGGAAAGTTCTAATGATTCATTAAAAGGCTACTCTACATGGCCATACTAACTAAAAATGCACATAAAAAGCTGCTCAAAAAGGCCATCCTGGCCAATAAACCAATCTATCCTCAACTCACATTTCAAAAAGTGAAATATCTCTGCTTAGCAGGGGGCTATCGTTTGTCACTGCCCGGTTGACAATGATCTCATCTTACAAGGACTCAATGACTTCATACGTCGAATGCGACTCTTATTTTTTTTCCACTCCCATCCCCCCAGGACGGAACCTGAACCCTTTAGAAAGAAATAATTTGGGGTCCCCCCTGTTGATGTCTGCCCTCAATTACAACAATATTTTGATAAAATCTTCGTCGACATCGACAAGGTCATAAGCTCAGCTGCTAAAGACATACCCCATAACCTCACCCCCAATAGAAACTGAGAGCATTAAAACCTTATGCACCCGCAAGGACATAACCATCAAACCCACGGACAAAAGGGGGGGGGGCCTTTGTCGCATGGTCTATAGAAGCTTACCTTAAGGAAGCTAACTATCAGCTGTCCAACCCCCTCCACTACCGTAAACTAGAATATGATGGAACACAGCTGCTATCCACCCAGACCACAACGTTCTTAACACACCTACTAGGTCGGAATCTTCTCACACAGCAATGCTATGATTTCCTTGAACCAAGCCCCCATCCCACACCCCAGAATTCTACCTTTTACCAAAAATACACAAACCAAAGATTAACAACCTCATACCGGGCAGACCAACAATCTGGGGGTGCGGCTCACCCACTGATAAAATCTCCAAATTTCTGGACCATTTCTTAAAACCAATTTGTTAAAACTATACCCTCATACGTCAAAGACACCAATCATTTTCTCCTAATTATGTTTAGAGAGAGACAGAATTTTCCACCGGGCATAATCCTGTGTATCCTGGATGCTAAATCCCTCTATACCAATATACCACAGGATGAGGGCATTCTACACTGCATAATGGAATTAATTGATTTTTATGCCACTGGACTACCTCTACCAGCCACACACCTACAACAAATGTTTGAGTTTATATTAAAAGGAAATTATTTCTCCTTCAATGGACAGCCATATTTACAGACACATGGCACTGCCATGGGTACCCCTTTTGCCCCAAGCTTTGCAAACATCTTTATGTCTGTTATTGAACAAAATATCCTCTCCACAGCCCCCGAGGGGAAGAAACCTCTACTCTGGAAACGATTTATCGATGATATATTCATGATATGGCAATATGATGAAGCTTCCCTCACTGAATTCCTTGCTCATACCAATAATGTGCACAACACGATTAAATTTGAAGCACAACAATCTAGAGCAAAAATAAATTTCCTTGACACCATAATTTATCTTAACAAGAACAGTGGACTCCTGGAAAGCACCCTATTCGTGAAGCCCACTGATATATGCAACCTTCTACATACTTAATTCTTCTACTCCACCCACCTTTGATCACAGACAACAATGAACTCCACAAACATCTCAAAACGCTTCGAAAAAATCTAATCATAAGAGGTTATGAATCTCAGGATATCGCCACCGAATTTAGTAAACTGACATATGTCACCCAAAACGAGCTCCTCTTCCCAGGAAACCCCACCAACAATGAAACCACCCCTCAGTACCTAAACTTCGAACCCCCTCCACCAAAACCACAGGCTCTTCCTTTTGTTATCCCATTCAACATAAAAACTATAAATATAGGTTCCGTCCTTACTAATTATTGGCACTTGATCTCAGCTGATTCTTATCTTAAACAAATATGGAATGACACCGGTTCTAGCCCTCACCAGAAGGCCTAACCTCAAAGATCAATTGGTACACACTAAATAGGCCATTAAGACAAAGCCGCTTCTCGAAGCATCATGCGCCTTTAACTTGACAGTATATAAATATTACACTAGAGGCACAGTTACATCTAAGGTACGGCATCCACTGATTATCATATTTTCACTCTTATTGCTTATATATTTATTTTGCAACCGTGATCCTGGATGCAGGATTGCAAGGGGCGCCAACGAGAAACGGACATACCGAATTAAAGCCCCGAAATGTCCCTCGTGGGTTTCTGGCTGATGAGTTGTTTTTTTATCATTTCCTGCCCATTTTCAAGCTCACTGCCTAAACATACAAGGGGCACACACAACCACCCCCCCCCCCATCTGGGTTTGAGGCTGTAACCAGGTGGTAGTGACCACTCCTTATCTCCTTTTTTCTCATTTCTCCATTTTGGATTTTACAATTTTACTCACACATTGGTTTTTTAGGTTTTACCTTCTATACCTATAAAAGCTTGGCAAAGTACCGATCAAACACAAATTAAAGTAATAGAAAAAAACGAGGTTGCATACTCTTGTTCGAAAATTTCACATGCGTTTAGATTGCTCTGAACATGTTGCAAAAAGCGCAAAATTAATTTTTTTAATGAACTTAACAATCAGGTGTTTGCAATAAAATGCGGAAGAGCGCTGTAGTAGGCACAAAGGCGCATTTGACAGTTGATGTGTCTTCATGATGCGCTGATGACAGTCAACTGTGATCAACTATTGTCTTATCGGGGTAAAGACCTTTCAATGTTAGCACTTAAGGTCCTGGGTCCTAGGGTCTGATTTTACGATATGCCTAAACCATCCAATCACTGTCCTGGAATTTCCCGCTAAAAAGATATATTGCGCGCCTGCTCTTCGTCAATGTATACGGGAACATGTGTTCTCACCGGCATGTCAGTTAAAGATTATCGTTCTTTAACTGACATGCCGTTCTGAAAGATTTCTCTGCGGTATTATTTACCAACATATTGCATGCCCGTACCGTTAGGTACGATACGATAATCTTTAACTGACACCCCTGTGAGATCACATGTTTCCTTATATTGACAAAATGCAGGCGCGCAAATTATTTTTTTAGCGGGAAATTCGGGCTCAGTGATTGGATGGTTTAGGTCAAGGGATAGTCATAATTTGGTGGAGGTTTTGGTTACCCTCACTTTCTTGATGAGCGTCACATGGCTGGTCAAAGCGCATTCTCTGTTGAAATTTTAAAGGGTAAGCATTTGTGTATCGTTCATTTTATCATTACTCATTTACAGTGCTTTACAATATAGAGTTAAAAAAGATGGATAATAAACACCACTTTGTGAAGCAGATGAAATATTTTCTTATGAACAGAAGTTGACATCTGTAGGCTTGATTACTTTATGATTATTTTATAATTGCACTTAGCTGTTATTACAATATTACATATAGTCTTTTTTTATTTCGTTCTACTTTACTTTATTCTTATTATATCTTACTGTTATCATTCAAACTTAAAATCGTCATTATAAACACGTCAATTTGGATACATGGCTCGATAGCTTGCCCAAAGTTCTTTCCATGTGTCCATCAGCCTAAAATTGTTTAATTCTCATTGCTGTTCTATAAAATATTGCGATTGACCATTCATTGTTATTTAGTCAAATTAACTTGGATATTGTTTATTTAGTATAATTATGTTAGCCGGTATATTGTAATTAATCAATTTTATGTTGAAAAAATTTTTTGAGTTTGAGTTTGAGTTTGAATTAGTTACATACAAGGGTGCATTCCTTGTAGGTAGGAAATAATGGAAGAATTTGTGAAAATCAAAGTCTTCAACTATCTAGCATTAAAAAAATTGGCAGAACTATCGATTCTAAGCGTTCGGTTGAAATCATTGTAATAATTTCCGGCGTTGCAAAAACAGCTAGGGGTATAAGCATTTCAAAGCATCCAAGGGGGTGTCCAGGAAGAATTTGCCGACAAACTGGTCGTGCCATCCCTAGATTGCTAGATTGCCGACAAGTTACCAAAATTTGCCGACGAAATACCCATCCATGGCCAAATACTCTTGGTTTTGAAAATTTTTTTTCGCTTGTGACAACCCCCTGCACCCCCACGGTAGCTACGGCACTGAAGCATTTGTCTCGCGAACTGGGGAAATATTGTTGATATCACTCGAATGGGAGAAATTTCTCCTGTTTGGGAGAACTGCCCTCCCATCCATTTATTTTTTCTTTGGAAATTACTTTCCAAATATTGAAACATTGAGTTTGCTGGGTAAGGCGGGAGGCTTTTTTAAATTAATGAAAATTCCCCCTCTTAGCCTAGTAGCTTGTTTGTTCAAAATGTAGGGTATTTGTTTCTACGTGCCTCTAGTGATAACCCTGCTTTATTCAACTTTCATGTGTGTTGCATGTGTGGATACTGTGTTAAAGTGACTGAACCAGCTTTTCAGATTTACTAAAAATAATCTTTGTAGGAGCTACATCGGGCAAAAGCACTATTTTTAATGTTACTGTCAATGTATCAGCTAGGTCAAGAGATCTTTCTTTTTGTAAAATGCCGAGAACATACTCTCGAGTGTCTACTTGAAACAAAATTGTCTCTGTTTATATTGTCAGGCTATACCTTGCGCATTGGTCAATCTTCAGGAAGTTTGTGAAACGATAGCTCTTTTCCTTCAGCTATAGCTGCAGCTCGCACTTTTGAGGTACATCCCTAGACGCATTTTTTTCTTTTTCATTCAATTTACCCTACTTGATCCCTAAAGAAGCCTACTTTGTAGATTGTTCTCAGTTATTTAGTATAAGTAAGAGAGAATTTGCGATTGCAAATGGCAATTTTTTCATACACAGGCTTGTAAGGAAACGGCAGCTTGTCAACTTTTAAAGACTCATTGCTAACAGCGAGCCATTGCGCTACGCAAGCATCCCATAATGCATTTTTAGACAGTCTGAAATCAATTTTGGTTAATCCGTAGAAGTTTGCTGCCATTGTTTGGATCGTCGCCACGCTCGCAAAGGCCCATTGTTAGCATTGTTAGCAATGAGTGTCACGTTATGCCTTTCCCGCCAGGGGCGTTGTGGCTCCTAGAAAAATGCTGGGAGAAAATGATCATAAGGGGGCCCGCTCTTTTGTTTGACATTTCGAACCACAAACCACAGGTCGCCAAAAATTGTACCTATCCGGAAACCATGCACCAAAATTACAAAGATGCCAATTTTTATCATCAATTAAGGTTCATCATTAATCTCAAAAAATTTGAATCAAATTCAACGATGTAGTGCACACTTGATACAAACGCAATCGCGATAGAGCACTTCCATACACTGCTAGTGAAGCGAGCCGAAAGTTTTTACGGTCACGCCCTTGAAATTAGCTTGAAACACATTTCAGAACGTTTTTTAAAAAAGTCGTTTACCACGTTTTACAATCTTTTTGGCATATTTTGTTGCGTTTCGTTAAAATTCGGTACTTGAGGGAGGTCATATTCAACTAATCTCTTTCACAGGGGCCTGTTTGTATATGTTGACCTCCTCTAATTCCCTAAACTGTGAACTCACCAAGGATTTTGTTTATATTAAATATTTTCCTGGGTTTTACAAACTCACTTGAAAGGGGCCCACCGGGTAATTTCCGCCTAGCCACAACGCCCCTGTTTCCCGCCAAACTTTCAACGGGGTTTTTACCCCTCAAAACAAGACAAAACATTGGGAAACTTTTCAGGAACATGTTCCAATGTTATAATTCTATAGAAATTAGCATAAAATATTTTGCGCCAAATTTAGTGCCACTATTCCTTTAACTTTTCAGCCTAGATATCTGGGTTGGTTATGGGAATTTTCCTCTTTGCTTTTAAATACTTCTTTTTGTTTCTTATTCTTTCAGGGAAAGCATGGCAATGGAAACTTTTACAGGCACTAGGGTGAGAATAGTGCATATTTTCCTTGAGGTAGAACCCTCCCTCAAATTTTGAAATTTGGAGCTTGAGAACGATAGCAAGAATTTGGCTCTATCGGCCCTTTAGAAAAATAGCATAGTTAACCCAACAGGGAGGTTTGGGGGGAGGGGGAAGAAATGAAATCTTTATGCAAAATGGCACAAAATTATCTCCCACAAGTTTTATACACTCATTCTTTGTGAGAAATCTACTATCTGCAAGTGCTAACCATTGTTATTTTGAAATAATGTGTTAAATTTAAAATGAAAATATGTTAAGCAAAAACTGTAGGAGGGTTTTTTCTTAGGTCTATTGTATTACGCATCTGCTTTCTAGAGATCAACAAGAATGAGAACAGATGAAAAAGGACCAGAGAATGATGCAAAGTATTATATAGAGCACGAGATGGATCTACCAGGTCTTTCCAGCAAATTCATTAGTGAAGAAATCGGTAGGTTGATAATAGATAAAGAATTAAGAGGGTGTCCCAAAACAGATTTTAAGATTCTTAATTGCATGTGGCCGTTAAGATGTTGAGCCTCTCTCCTCAGTAGCAGCCATCCAAGTTTCTTATAGAACAGTCTCTTATAGAAATCATGTAGCGCCGGGGAAAAGTGGAAATTCGTTACCCATCGGTGCCGATTGTCTTAATAACTAAGAAGAAGTAAGGCAATTTCTGTCTGCTGGTATTTTCATTTGAACAGGGAGGTTTTTTCGATCGAGTCGTATCTCGTTGTTTAATAACAATTTTCAATTAGAAGTGATGTCCAAATTTAGGGGTATAATCTGTGACCTTTAAGCGACTCCTAATAAACTGATGAAAAAATCATAAAGATGTGATGTGCAAAAGTGCAAATAACGGAGGGATCTTTTTGGTCAAGGTCTCGGCCCTCTTGCTCAAAATGAAAAAATGACCTTCTGCTTATTATAATACGAAATTTTAAGTTATAAAATCAAGACAACTCCTCTAACATTCGAATTTCTGTAATGTTTCTGGTCTGAATAATATTATCGCAAGCTACATACTGAAAGAGGAATTTTACTGTATTACCGACTTACCATTAACAGCGTTGAGTATTACACATATTCTCCATTGTTGCAGGTTGTGGCGTTTTCAACTCATTATATAGAAGTATTTACAAAGGATCATTTGTCTTGGAGTATGCTGGGGAGCTCATTACAAAGGAAGCGGCAGATAATCGCGAGAAAGAATACGCTAAAAAAGGATGTGGCAGCTACATGTTCTACTTCAAGCATGAACGTCAGGAATTATGGTAGGCCGAAATATTAGTTGTTCAGTTAGATGTCGTCCCAAAACAGCCTTTACAATTCTTAACGCCTTTTGGTTGTAAAAGGGGGGGGGATTGAAGGGATCGTGTGGTAGATATTTCATTCAGTTTCACACTAAGGGAAACTCGACTTTTTCATTTTCACCAGATCATTAACACACAAAAACCATTACAAGATTATTATTCAAAACCGACTCAACAACTCCCCTTAATTACAATAACAAGACTTTTTATACTATTTACAGTGCGCATGTGCAAGAAAAATGATAGTGTGTTAAACATAGAATTAATCCTACTACAGGTTGACAGAAACGGTCACAGATTCTATTCTAATTTTTCATGAATAAAGAGAATACAGAGATACTCTTAAATTTGGACATCACTTCTCATTGAACATTGTTATAAAACAATGAGATACGACTAGATCTAAAAACCCTCCCTTTTGAAATGAACAGATAAGCATACAGAATTTGCATTACTTCTTCTTGGTTATTGGAACGATCGGCACCGATGGGTAACAAATATCCACTTTTCCCCGACTTATGTGCGTTGCATGATTTCTATAAGAAACTGTTCTTTAAGAAACTTGGATGGCCGCTAAGAGCTAGAGGGGAGGTGGCTCAAAATCTTAACGGCAACATGCAATTAAGAATCACAAAATCTGTTTTGGTACGACCCCTTAGCTTTTCCTCTAATGAAAGTGTGAAGCTCCTGAAGGAATCAAGCATTCTCACAGAAATTTTAAATGTATTAATATTAGATGTTAGAGTAAAATAAAGGTAGAAACCTGCTGGACACAAACACTTGCTATAAGGGACATCTGAAATTATTGGGAATATATATTTCACTTTTTTCATAAATAATAAAACCCAACCTTGAGGTTAGGCTTATGATTTTACAGATAACAAACATTGGCAATACAAAGGATGTACTTCTGTCTATTAATTTTCAGTCCGAAAACATATTGAAACATGCTCTTCGTATATGCCATTATATCATCATTTAAGTAGTCGTAGCAAACTTTCATCCTTTGTAAACGACAGTAGAGACAATAGCAACTTGCAACGGCAAAAAATTGAGAAATGCTGCAGATCTCGTTTTAAAGATTTTTCAATTGCTGAACGTGGTTCCTCCCAGCTCCAACCTGGCTACGTCCTTTTTATGATAGCAAATTGCACCTATTAGTACTGATAGTGTTAAGCTAACCATTTTTTTCCAGTGTTGATGCTACAGAGCCCTCTGGTCGTCTTGGAAGATTGGTGAACGATAGCAAGCTGGGAAACTGCAAGATGCAGAAAGTTATGGTTGGCCAAGTTCCCCATCTTTGCTTGTTCGCCACAAGAACTATTACGCAGGGGGAAGAACTTCGATACGACTATGGCTTGGATGATCTTCCTTGGCGAAAACAGGCAAGAAAATCATTGAAAATCTAAGTTTGACATATTCAAATATTCGACTGGGAAACTTGTCTCCTTCTTTATATGATTGTCAATTGGACTTGCATTCTTTGCCCGGGGGTGGAGGTACCTGGAGGTAAGGACGGGTATGTGCGAAGATGCAAACAAAACTTTACCCCAAAACTCGATGATTCACGGCAATAATAGTACCCAAAACAGGATATCATTCTTAAATCACCAAACCAAAAACTGGAGAGGAATATTGAAATAACTCCCAAAACCTGGGCTCGCACATACCCATAATTTACTTTAGGTACCTCCACCCCCGGGGAGCTTTGATAGGAAGCAAAACGGTTGAAGCAAACCATTGATTCGAAACATAATGATTAAAATCAAACCGACTTTACTATCTTAATATAACCATAGAGCAAACATACGTGACACTATATAATTTCTTATTTTCAAATAAAGCCTTCCATTATCAATTACACATAGCTCCACTGGTAGTGAATTGCCTTGTCAATAAATCAAATTGACATCATTTTCAATTAGAAACTTAAGGATTTTTCAATGTTAGTTGAACTATTTGTAACTTAGGCTTTTATGAAAAGGGAATCAAATTAAAAACGCATGTTGCTTGAAATTTCCGTTAAGCAATGTTCATAATGCCTATCGGGGTGTGTGCGTGGGAGGGGGGGTGGAGGTACAGCCTCCCACTTCTGGAAAGTTGGTCGGTAAATTTTACGGATGGTCGGGAATGTTATGGAATGTCGGAAGATGCCTATCTTGATTTTATAAAGTATATTGGTGTGTATACATTAACTAGCAAGAGTTGAATTTTGGTCGGTTTACAACGCTCCTGTAATATTACAAAATTAAACTAATTTGTTTTGTTTATTTTAATATCGTGCGAAATCAAATTAACTTTTTATTGTAGGAAGGGGTTGCTAAAGGAAAACGAAAAAAGACCCTAAAAGCAGATCATGAAGAAATTGGCCAAGCCAAGAGCCAAGAAAAGCAACGGGTAATTTTGTCAATTTTCTTTTATTTACAGAAACAAAATTTTATCTACGATTTGCAAGTTCTTATCTTATCTTCATGAGTCAATTAAGCTTTTACTGTGGTGTTTATCAAACTAGGTTATTTGGAGTTAAATCCTTTAAACTGCCTTTTATATACATTTACAATAAAAATTTACATTTAAATAAATATGTTTATTGAAAATGCCGTCTGAAAGTAGGGACTTTGAGCAAGGAACTCTTTTCCCTCGAAAGAAACACATGTCAAAAGGCACCTGGTTGTTACCAATACGAATGCCAGTTGCCACTTTTAGTTACACCTGCTATGGGGAAACGTTGCATTTAAAGTGAATTTTACCAAATAGAGTCTTTAGAACCTATTTTAATAAATATTGGCGTTATTGGGGCAACTAATGTATTAAGAAAAGACCTTCTTCATGTTCAACGGAAGGTATTGTTTGAATTATGAGGCCCTGAATAATTTGTATTTTTGAGAAGTTTTGGTCAATTGGGTTAAGTTGAGAAAAAGTCTTTAGACCTGTAGATACATTTGCTATAGGGGAATCATATTTAAGTTTTGAATATACTTCTTAAACTTGACAAAGTCTCGGTTTCAATCATGTCCTTATTGAAATCTTCGCTCAACAACATCTTCCGATCATAAGCAAGTAAGAGGTGACAAGAGATGGTCAATATTAAGAGATGACATATTTTGAAAGTCTACTGGTGCCTCAAAACATCGTATTCTCGAAATAATTTTCAAATATATGACAAACTGCTGGTCTCATTCTTTTTGTTAAGCAATGTTCATAATATTTATATGCACTTAATCAATATTGCAGAAATCAGTACATGCAGGAACCTTTAAAATTAGTTGTTGTTTTGTATATTTTAATATCGTGCGAAATCAAATTAACTTATTATTGTAGGAAGGGGTTGCTAAAGGAAAACGAAAAAAGACCCTAAAAGCAGATCATGAAGAAATTGGCCAAGCCAAGAGCCAAGAAAAGCTACAGGTAAATTTGTCAATTTTCTTTTCTGTCTTTCAAGCAATATTGGTAGCTCCAACAGGTCGAAGGGCTCCTCCCTAGATATGCCTTTGATCCACATAAATCTCATCTATATCACCTTTCCTTTCAGCAACCATCTAAACTAATACAGAGCTCAATGCAAACACTTCCAGGTGGAAGCCAGGTAACATTAATTATTTTGAAATCTTGCTAGATGTAATTTACATTGATTCTCAAATGCGAGGGGGCAATATCTATTGTTTAAAGTAATTCATCTTAGACAGCATGACAGACATAAAATATTACAAGGTTTAAGGGCAAACAACATGCAAAATGCCTCGAATCGGCATTTAGTATTCTTGTGTTTTTAGGACCTGTAATAGTTGATGTGATCTTTACTAACCTGCAACCAAAAAAGGCGACACTTGAAGGAGTAAAGGGGATTCGCAGTTCACCCACCCAACTGTAAAAATATTGTCTTATGTCAGGCTAAAAATAGCTGATACAGGGCAGCTTTTCTGCCACGTGGGTCCATTTTGCACGTTCTATCATCGCATAAGTACCATTGCAGTGCCGTCGTATTGAAATTCATATAGTGGGGGGGGGGTTTAGGGGGGCTGCCCATTGTTTTTATTCTCGTTCAGTACACTGTTATTAAAGAAAACATACTACAGATGACAAATATTGGGGGGCTTTAGCCCCCCCCCAGCCCCCTGGGTTGCGACGGTCCTGAATTGCCCTGAAACACAACCTTGCAGCCAAAGCCACTTTCGTAAAATTTTTCAAGGGTGTCAATTAAACCCTCCATGTAGAAAAAGAATTGAATCTTAGCTTCTTTTCTAATTGAAATTCTAGCCTCAAATGAATGCCAATAATTTCAAGCGCTGTAAGCTAGTTTTTAGCAATCCTTTAACAAAATTACTTTTACTGAGAGTGACATTTACTTTCTTAGGTTAATGATAGTGACGATGAAAAGAACATCGACCAATATACTCTTCTTCCTTTGGAAACTCTGCAGGTAATTTACAGTAGTGTGCTAAAGGGCTTTGAGTAAAAAGGGTGAAACTAAATCTAGGATGAAAATGCCAATTTCCAATTTTATCTACAAGAATTACCAATGGCATGTCACTAAATGTTGTGTTTATTTTTACGGGACATTAGCCTTTCTATCTATTTATTTTAATATTGAGTAAATACCCACTTTATGGGGACATTTGTCTTTCATATCTATTTATTTAAAAAGACAGTCAATACCCACTTAAAGGGGACAATAGCCGTTCTTATATTTTTATTCGAAATGTCAGTAAACACCCATTTTGTTGGGACATAAGCCTTTTCTACTATTTTTTGTTATATACAGTAAACACACACTCAATGGGGACATTAGCCTTTCCTATCTATTTATTTTAATGTGCAGTGAGTACACATTTAGCAAGGACATTGGCCTTTTTCATCTTTTCATTTTAAAAGGCAGTAAACACACACTCTACATATTGGCAAAGGACCATATCAGCAGGATAATCTTTATGCACCTTTATTTTTCTAAAAATATGAAATCGCACCAATATCATCTTTCTTATGTAGAACTGTAATGATTTTAAAAATTGATTGGATTTTCTTAAAATGTGTCTAAAAGTATGGTTGGAAGTTAAATCCTTTAAAATGCCATTTATATACATTTACAATAAAAATTTACATTTAAATAAATATGTTTATTGAAAATGCCGTCTGAAAGTAGGGACTTTGAGTAAGGAACTCTTTTCCCTCGAAAGAGACACATGTCAAAAGGCACCTGGTTCTTGCCAATACGAATGCCAGTTGCCACTTTTAGTTAAACCTGCTATGGGGAAACGTTGCATTTAAAGTGAATTTTACCAAAAAGAGTCTTTAGAACCTATTTTAATAAATATTGGCGTTATTGGGGCAACTAATGTATTAAGAAAAGACCTTCTTCATGTTCAACGGAAGGTATTGTTTGAATTATGAGGCCCTGAATAATTTGTATTTTTGAGAAGTTTTGGTCAATTGGGTTAAGTTGAAAAAAAGTCTTTAGACCTGTAGATACATTTGCTATAGGGGAATCATATTTAAGTTTTGAATATACTTCTTAAACTTGACAAAGTCTCGGTTTCAATCATGTCCTTATTGAAATCTTCGCTCAAAAACATCTTCCGATCATATGTAAGTAAGAGGTGACAAGAGATGGTCAATATTAAGAGATGACATATTTTGAAAGTCTACTGGTGCCTCAAAACATCGTATTCTCGAAATAATTTTCAAATATATGACAAACTGCTGTCTCATTCTTTTTGTTAAGCTATGTTCATAATATTTATATGCACTTAATCAATATTGCAGAAATCAGTAAATGCAGGAACCTTTTAAATTAGTTGTTGTTTTGTATATTTTAATATCGTGCGAAATCAAATTAACTTTTTCTTGTAGGAAGGGGTTGCTAAAGGAAAACGAAAAAAGACCCTAAAAGCAGATCATGAAGAAATTGGCCAAGCCAAAAGCCAAGAAAAGCAGCAGGTAAATTTGTCAATTTTCTTTTCTTTACAAAAAGCAAAATTTTAACTACGATTTGAAAGTTCTTATCTTTTCTTCACAAGTCAATTAAGCTTTTACTGTGGTGTTTATCAAACTAGGTTATTTGGAGTTAAATCCTTTAAACTGCCTTTTACATACATAAAAGAAAATACATTTAAATTTAAATAAATATGTTTATTGAAAGTGCCGTCTGAAAGTAGGGACTTTGAGCAAGGAACTCTTTTCCTTCGAAAGAAACACATGTCAAAAGGCACCTGGTTGTTACCAATACGAATGCCAGTTGCCACTTTTAGTTACACCTGCTATGGGGAAACGTTGCATTTAAAGTGAATTTTACCAAATAGAGTCTTTAGAACCTATTTTAATAAATATTGGCGTTATTGGGGCAACTAATGTATTAAGAAAAGACCTTCTTCATGTTCAACGGAAGGTATTGTTTGAATTATGAGGCCCTGAATAATTTGTATTTTTGAGAAGTTTTGGTCAATTGGGTTAAGTTGAAAAAAAGTCTTTAGACCTGTAGATACATTTGCTATAGGGGAATCATATTTAAGTTTTGAATATACTTCTTAAACTTGACAAATGCTCGGTTTCAATCATGTCCCTATTGAAGTTTTCGCTCAAGAACATCTTCCGATCATATGTAAGTAAGAGGTGACAAGAGATGGTCAATATTAAGAGATGACATATTTTGAAAGTCTACTGGTGCCTCAAAACATCGTATTCTCGAAATAATTTTCAAATATATGACAAACCGCTGTCTCATTCTTTTTGTTAAGCTATGTTCATAATATTTATATGCACTTAATCAATATTGCAGAAATCAGTAAATGCAGGAACCTTTTAAATTAGTTGTTGTTTTGTATATTTTAATATCGTGCGAAATCAAATTAACTTTTTCTTGTAGAAAGGGGTTGCTAAAGGAAAACGAAAAAAGACCCTAAAAGCAGATCATGAAGAAATTGGCCAAGCCAAAAGCCAAGAAAAGCAGCAGGTAAATTTGTCAATTTTCTTTTCTTTACAAAAAGCAAAATTTTAACTACGATTTGAAAGTTCTTATCTTTTCTTCACAAGTCAATTAAACTTTTACTGTGGTGTTTATCAAACTAGGTTATTTGGAGTTAAATCCTTTAAACTGCCTTTTACATACATAAAAGAAAATACATTTAAATTTAAATAAATATGTTTATTGAAAGTGCCGTCTGAAAGTAGGGACTTTGAGCAAGGAACTCTTTTCCCTCGAAAGAAACACATGTCAAAAGGCACCTGGTTGTTACCAATACGAATGCCAGTTGCCACTTTTAGTTACACCTGCTAAAGGGAAACGTTGCATTTAAAGTGAATTTTACCAAATAGAGTCTTTAGAACCTATTTTAATAAATATTGGCGTTATTGGGGCAACTAATGTATTAAGAAAAGACCTTCTTCATGTTCAACGGAAGGTATTGTTTGAATTATGAGGCCCTGAATAATTTGTATTTTTGAGAAGTTTTGGTCAATTGGGTTAAGTTGAAAAAAAGTCTTTAGACCTGTAGATACATTTGCTATAGGGGAATCATATTTAAGTTTTGAATATACTTCTTAAACTTGACAAATGCTCGGTTTCAATCATGTCCCTATTGAAGTTTTCGCTCAAGAACATCTTCCGATCATATGTAAGTAAGAGGTGACAAGAGATGGTCAATATTAAGAGATGACATATTTTGAAAGTCTACTGGTGCCTCAAAACATCGTATTCTCGAAATAATTTTCAAATATATGACAAACTGCTGTCTCATTCTTTTTGTTAAGCAATGTTCATAATATTTATATGCACTTATCAATATTGCAGAAATCAGTACATGCAGGAACCTTTAAAATTAGTTGTTGTTTTGTATATTTTAATATCGTGCGAAATCAAATTAACTTTTTCTTGTAGGAAGGGGTTGCTGAAGGAAAACGAAAAAAGACCCTAAAAGCAGATCATGAAGAAATTGGCCAAGCCAAGAGCCAAGAAAAGCAACAGGTAAATTTGTCAATTTTCTTTTCTTTACAAAAAGCAAAATTTTAACTACGATTTGAAAGTTCTTATCTTTTCTTCACAAGTCAATTAAACTTTTACTGTGGTGTTTATCAAACTAGGTTATTTGGAGTTAAATCCTTTAAACTGCCTTTTACATACATAAAAGAAAATACATTTAAATTTAAATAAATATGTTTATTGAAAGTGCCGTCTGAAAGTAGGGACTTTGAGCAAGGAACTCTTTTCCCTCGAAAGAAACACATGTCAAAAGGCACCTGGTTGTTACCAATACGAATGCCAGTTGCCACTTTTAGTTACACCTGCTATGGGGAAACGTTGCATTTAAAGTGAATTTTACCAAATAGAGTCTTTAGAACCTATTTTAATAAATATTGGCGTTATTGGGGCAACTAATGTATTAAGAAAAGACCTTCTTCATGTTCAACGGAAGGTATTGTTTGAATTATGAGGCCATGAATAATTTGTATTTTTGAGAAGTTTTGGTCAATTGGGTTAAGTTGAAAAAAAATCTTTAAACCTGTAGATACATTTGCTATAGGGGAATCATATTTAAGTTTTGAATATACTTCTTAAACTTGACAAAGTCTCGGTTTCAATCATATCCTTATTGAAATCTTCGCTCAACAACATCTTCCGATCATATGTAAGTAAGAGGTGACAAGAGATGGTCAATATTAAGAGATGACATATTTTGAAAGTCTACTGGTGCCTCAAAACATCGTATTCTCGAAATAATTTTCAAATATATGACAAACTGCTGTCTCATTCTTTTTGTTAAGCTATGTTCATAATATTTATATGCACTTAATCAATATTGCAGAAATCAGTACATGCAGGAACCTTTTAAATTAGTTGTTGTTTTCTATATTTTAATATCGTGCGAAATCAAATTAACTTATTATTGTAGGAAGTGGTTGTTGAAGGAAAACGAAAAAAGACCCTAAAAGCAGATCATGAAGAAATTGGCCAAGCCAAGAGCCAAGGAAAGCAACAGGTAAATTTGTTAATTTTCCTTTCTGTCAATCAAGCAATATTGGTAGCTCCAACAGCTCCAAGGGCTCCTCCCTGGATATGTCTTTGATCCACATCATTCTCATCTATAACACTTTTCCTTTCAGCATCCATCTAAAATAATACAGAGCTCAATGCCAACCCTTCCCGGTGACAGCCAGGTAACATTAATTATTTTGAAATCTTGCTAGTTACATTGATTCTCAAATGTGAGAGGGCAATATCTATTGTTTAAAGTAATTCATCTTAGACAGCATGACAGACATAAAATATTACAAGGTTTAAGGGCAAACAACATGCAAAATGCCTCGAATCGGCATTTAGTATTCTTGTGTTTTTAGGACCTGTAATAGCTGATTTGATCTTTACTAAACTGCAACCAAAAAAGGCGACACTTGAAGGAGTAAAGGGGATTCGCAGTTCACCCACCCAACTGTAAAAATATTGTCTTATGTCAGGCTAAAAATAGCTGATACAAGGCAGCTTTTCTGCCACGTGGGTCCATTTTGCACGTTCTATCATCGCTTAAGTACCATTGCAGTGCCGTCGTATTGAAATTCATATAGTGGGGGGGGAGGTTGAGGGGGGCTGCCCATTGTTTTTCTTCTCCTTCAGTACACTGTTATTAAAGAAAACATACTACAGTTTGACAAATATTGGGGGGCTCCAGCCCCCCCCCAGCCCCCCGGGTTGCGACGGTCCTGAATTGCCCTGAAACACAACCTTGCAGCCAAAGCCACTTTCGTAAAATTTTTCAAGGGTGTCAATTAAACCCTCCATGTAGAAAAAGAATTGAATCTTAGCTTCTTTTCTAATGGAAATTCTAGCCTCAAATGAATGCCAATAATTTCAAGCACTGTAAGCTAGTTTTTAGCAATCCTTTAACAAAATTACTTTTACTGAGAGTGACATTTACTTTCTTAGGTTAATGATAGTGACGATGAAAAGAACATCGACCAATATACTCTTCTTCCTTTGGAAACTCTGCAGGTAATTTACAGTAGTGTGCTAAAGGGCTTTGAGTAAAAAGGGTGAAACTAAATCTAGGATGAAAATGCCAATTTCAAATTTTATCTACAAGAATTACCAATGGCATGTCACTAAATGTTGTGTTTATTTTTACGGGACATTAGCCTTTCTATCTATTTATTTTAATATTGAGTAAATACCCACTTTATGGGGACATTTGTCTTTCATATCTATTTATTTAAAAAGACAGTCAATACCCACTTAAAGGGGACAATAGCCGTTCTTATATTTTTATTCGAAATGTCAGTAAACACCCATTTTGTGGGGACATAAGCCTTTTCTACTATTTTTTGTTATATACAGTAAACACACACTCAATGGGGACATTAGCCTTTCCTATCTATTTATTTTAATGTGCAGTGAGTACACATTTAGCAAGGACATTGGCCTTTTTCATCTTTTCATTTTAAAAGGCAGTAAACACACACTCTACATATTGGCAAAGGACCATATCAGCAGGATAATCTTTATGCACCTTTATTTGTCTAAAAATATGAAATCGCACCATAATCATCTTTCATATGTAGAACTGTAATGATTTTAAAAATTGATTGGATTTTCTTAAAATGTGTCTAAAAGTATGGTTGGAAGTTAAATCCTTTAAAATGCCATTTATATACATTTACAATAAAAATTTACATTTAAATAAATATGTTTATTGAAAATGCCGTCTGAAAGTATGGACTTTGAGTAAGGAACTCTTTTCCCTCGAAAGAAACACATGTCAAAAGGCACCTGGTTGTTACCAATACGAATGCCAGTTGCCACTTTTAGTTACACCTGCTAAAGGGAAACGTTGCATTTAAAGTGAATTTTACCAAATAGAGTCTTTAGAACCTATTTCAATAAATATTGGCGTTATTGGGGCAACTAATGTATTAAGAAAAGACCTTCTTCATGTTCAACGGAAGGTATTGTTTGAATTATGAGACCCTGAATAATTTGTATTTTTGAGAAGTTTTGGTCAATTGGGTTAAGTTGAAAAAAAATCTTTAGACCTGTAGATACATTTGCTATAGGGGAATCATATTTAAGTTTTGAATATACTTCTTAAACTTGACAAAGTCTCGGTTTCAATCATGTCCTTATTGAAATCTTCGCTCAACAACATCTTCCGATCATATGCAAGTAAGAGGTGACAAGAGATGGTCAATATTAAGAGATGACATATTTTGAAAGTCTACTGGTGCCTCAAAACATCGTATTCTCGAAATAATTTTCAAATATATGACAAACTGCTGTCTCATTCTTTTTGTTAAGCAATGTTCATAATATTTATATGCACTTAATCAATATTGCAGAAATCAGTACATGCAGGAACCTTTTAAATTAGTTGTTGTTTTCTATATTTTAATATCGTGCGAAATCAAATTAACTTATTATTGTAGGAAGTGGTTGTTGAAGGAAAACGAAAAAAGACCCTAAAAGCAGATCATGAAGAAATTGGCCAAGCCAAGAGCCAAGGAAAGCAACAGGTAAATTTGTTAATTTTCCTTTCTGTCAATCAAGCAATATTGGTAGCTCCAACAGCTCCAAGGGCTCCTCCCTGGATATGTCTTTGATCCACATCATTCTCATCTATAACACTTTTCCTTTCAGCATCCATCTAAAATAATACAGAGCTCAATGCCAACCCTTCCCGGTGACAGCCAGGTAACATTAATTATTTTGAAATCTTGCTAGTTACATTGATTCTCAAATGTGAGAGGGCAATATCTATTGTTTAAAGTAATTCATCTTAGACAGCATGACAGACATAAAATATTACAAGGTTTAAGGGCAAACAACATGCAAAATGCCTCGAATCGGCATTTAGTATTCTTGTGTTTTTAGGACCTGTAATAGCTGATTTGATCTTTACTAAACTGCAACCAAAAAAGGCGACACTTGAAGGAGTAAAGGGGATTCGCAGTTCACCCACCCAACTGTAAAAATATTGTCTTATGTCAGGCTAAAAATAGCTGATACAGGGCAGCTTTTCTGCCACGTGGGTCCATTTTGCACGTTCTATCATCGCATAAGTACCATTGCAGTGCCGTCGTATTGAAATTCATATAGTGGGGGGGGGGGGTTGAGGGGGGCTGCCCATTGTTTTTCTTCTCCTTCAGTACACTGTTATTAAAGAAAACATACTACAGTTTGACAAATATCGGGGGGCTCCAGCCCCCCCCCCCTCCAGCCCCCCGGGTTGCGACGGTCCTGAATTGCCCTGAAACACAACCTTGCAGCCAAAGCCACTTTCGTAAAATTTTTCAAGGGTGTCAATTAAACCCTCCATGTAGAAAAAGAATTGAATCTTAGCTTCTTTTCTAATTGAAATTCTAGCCTCAAATGAATGCCAATAATTTCAAGCACTGTAAGCTAGTTTTTAGCAATCCTTTAAAAAAATTACTTTTACTGAGAGTGACATTTACTTTCTTAGGTTAATGATAGTGACGATGAAAAGAACATCGACCAATATACTCTTCTTCCTTTGGAAACTCTGCAGGTAATTTACAGTAGTGTGCTAAAGGGCTTTGAGTAAAAAGGGTGAAACTAAATCTAGGATGAAAATGCCAATTTCCAATTTTATCTACAAGAATTACCTATGGCATCTCACTAAATGTTGTGTTTATTTTTACGGGACATTAGCCTTTCTATCTATTTATTTTAATATTGAGTAAATAACCACTTTATGGGGACATTTGTCTTTCATATCTATTTATTTACAAAGACAGAAATTACACACATTGCGGGGACATCAGCCTTTCTCATTTTTTTGAAACATAACGTTTTTATCTATTTATTGTTATTTATAGTAAATACACACTCCAAGGAGACTTTTTTATCTGTTCTTTTGATTATAAATTACACACACACCTAGCTTGGAACAAGATATTTCATCGGTTTTTTTAATAAAGCGTAGTTTCCCGTATTTGTTTGTTTTAATTGTCATCTTTATATATCATTTTTAGGGGGGCTCTTACTCATTGGGGTTATATGTATGTTATATTGATCCATTAAATATTTCATTCACAGGAAAACTTTGCTATTTGTGCCGTTGTTGGCAGTCTAAAGGATATAGTTATCACCGGCGCTCATTAAATGATAATTTTAGATATTTGGCAAAAATAGAGTTATATAGATCGAGTTTTATATACTATCATCTGCATCTCTGACACGGAATTGAGATTGAGGGTAGAATATGATTGTATGAGGCTTTAGAATGACATAAATTTTCGTGGAAAGTGAATTTTATTAAAACGCATTGCAAAGGGTTTTGCGTTTGCTAGCAATAATAGCTCTTGTAATTCATTTTTTTAGAAAGGAGAACAAGTGATAAGGGAATTTAATTAAATTACAAGATATCTCATATCATTACTAATTTTCAGAGTATTGTTTTATTATTACAGGTTGAAGAAACTGGATTCAAAATAATTGAATCTGAAATTATCGGAGAGCCTCTAGAAGATGTGAGTAACTGCCAGACATGTGTCCTTGTTACTGAACTAAGCTATCTGTCTTTGCTGTGAATATATTGATTTATGGTACCACTTTAACTTATTGCACTAGACATAAAAAAAGTCCACGTAGCAACTCCTCTTTCATTTGTAAAGCAATTGAATGGTTGTCTTGCTATTTTGAACCGATATTATTCGCTTTACACAATATGCAGAGTTTGCATGAGCTGCTTTGGTTGGAGTCGAATCTATAAGCAACTCATGAATTAATCATCTTTCACACGATCTTCTCTTTTCTATGTATAGATTATATTGGTTGATCTGTTTTGATTTTAGATGGACGTAAAAGATGATTCAGGACTGCATGGAGACTTCCCGGAAATTGAAAGTACTGGTGATGAAGGAGAAGGCGAGGAGTGTAATCTGAATGTAAGTAACGAAATTTAGCATTATGTACTTCTTTTATTTATGAATTTGATGAAAAGTAGTGGCTTTAAAATGATGCTCATTTTCGGGTAACAGATAGCTTCAGTTGACAAGAAATATCGATATTTCAAATTGTGTCTTTTTGCAACTTATGGATTCAAATCTTACATCAAAGGAAGATCCGTGGATTCCTGAGGATTCCGATGGTAGCGATGATAGCGATGATCCGACATACGACTATTTATCTTCAGAAGAGGAGTCAGACTCGGAAGACACTGAAAGCAGTGATGGAGTTTCACCACAAAATAATAAAGGTGATGTTATTTGATCTCAAGTGCTTAAGTTTTCCACTCTTTCCCAAATTAGAATATTTGTAAAAAAGGTTCAACTCCCTCTGATTTCCACGTTGTCATAATTACTTTTCTGAAGCGTTATGCACACAAATTGCCATATGCATTGTTCATGCAGTCTACGCAATGTTTTAACAAGAAGTTTTGAAGATGTTATGTACAATTAAATTTTGATTTTATCACTCTTTGCATATATGGAAGCAACTTTGAACAGAAGCAAAAAAACTCTTGCAAATTACAGTTGATGGTCCAATGAGTTTCGATTAAGACTAATGTCAAATCGTTTGATCATAGATGATAGTTCAAGTGATAAAAAACTGCAGTCTACTGTCGTGAATGTAAAGAGAGTTGCTGAGTTCCAGGATGATATTCAAGGTAGATTCTGTCACTTATCTGTTGAAGGCAAAGGTCAAAACATTTGTTTGTTGAGTATGCTGAAAATCTATGATATGTACCATGGGGTGGTCAACTATTTCTCCCCTTAAAATAAGCTGCAATACATATGAAATAGCATAAATTTTCATAGAATCTTATGCCATTAAGAGAAGATGGAGCTTAGCTTTTGATGCTCAAATATTTTTTGTGTGACCAGTGTCCAAAAGTTCAATCTAATCTTTTGCAAACAGAATAAACAAGTATTGTTAAAATCATACAGCAGTCCTGAATTTCGTTTTGATATTTGCAATTAGTTTTTCTTCATGTTTTACTTGATGTTTTTAATTGATGTTTACTTCCAGCTTTTAATTGTAATCAAAACAATGAAATTACAAGAAGAAGCTTGTTCACGATGTTATTTTTTTCTTTTTAACTTTTTAACACAGTGGTAGTGCCCAGAGCAACAAAGACAGACATTGGTTGTAGGCGATATGACAAAACGTATTCCTGCTATTTTTGCGGCATAGAGACAGCCAAATTACCGAGACACTTGAGAACACGCCACAAGGATGAGCCAGAAGTTCTTCGAATTGAGGCAATAGCCGAAAAAAAATTAAAATCTAAAGAACTCGATCGTATCAGACTCAAAGGTGATTTTTATCACAACTTAAATGTGATGAAGTCTGGTGGCGTGCTTAAAGTCATAAGGCGCCCCAATCCAAATGATGATGTTTCTTTTCGCCAGTTTGTGCCTTGTACACACTGCCTTGGCTTTGTTCAAAAGCATGAACTATGGAGGCACGTTACTAATTGCCAGTTTAACGAAAAAATAGATGATTCTAAGCATTCTAAGCTGCGATTCGAAAGTGAAATGCTCCTTTATGGGAGCAAAGATACTGGCAGCACAGTCTTCACACAGTCTATCCTCTCTATAATGCGACAGGATCCTGTATCTTTTGAGGCCAAGAGGGATGACCTTATTTTAAAATTTGGTCATTCCCTTTTCGAAAAGGGTGGATCAGCAAAAGCCACCTACATCACACAAAAGATGCGATCACTTGCACGACTGCTGATGGAAGTCAGAGAAGTCACAAACAACGGTAGTGCTGACTTGTCAGATTTTATTACACCGACGCACTTTGACGATATTGTTCTTGCCACAAGAAATCTTTGCAGCCACACAGCAAACCCCCAAAACGATCATTTGTCCTCTTTTGAGAAACCATCTCTGGCTTTAAAGCTAGGACATGCTCTCAAAAAGGGAGCAATGATTCTAAGAGGAATGGCTTTGCGGCAAAAAGACATCGAGAGTAAGCAAAACGTGGAGATGTTCCTGGAGTTGCTCGATTCAGAATGGTCGACAAAGATATCTTCTGCAGCTCTAAGAACGTTGAGCGATGGGCAGTTTAACAAAGCCCCTGTACTTCCAGTGACAGAAGATCTGATGAAACTGCGAGAACACCTCCTTGCAGAAATTCCAAAAAAAACAGGAGAACTCTTGTTAAAGCCTGAAGTCGATAAGTGGAGGTGTTGAGCAGAGATGACTGTTGCGAGGATCCTGACGCTGAACAAAAGGCGTGGAAATGAAGGTTCCAAAGTGCAAATCGGTCAATTTCTCGATCGTCCAAAATGGAGTGAAGTAAACATGGAAGAAATGACCAGATCGCTGAAACCACTGGAGCTAGAACTTTGCAAAAGGTAGTGCGTTTCTTTTTTAAACGGCTGGTTTTCATGGAACAAGGGGTATTTCAGGATATTTAGCTTTTAAACACATTATCAAAAAGGCTCGTATCAAAAAAGGGGGCAAGAGTTATTTTTACTATTAGGTTCTCGCAATATATTATCATCGTCACCGGAGGGTAAGAGGTCTCTGCAGAGCCAGTCATTGGAAGGCTAGCCAATATTTGCGTAACTGCAAAGTTTGTATGATATTAAACTTCTAATATACAGGATAAAATCAACTGTCACAGAAGGATAATAGAATTTCCTTTGTTTGGTAGCCTAACAATTTGGCAAGGTTCTAGACCCTATCACAAGTTTAATTTTCTGCAGATTTGGTGATTTTGCTCTGAATGTTTTTCCCTCTCTTTGTAGTAAGAAACTGGCTATAAGAAATGAGTACTCGACAGTCAAAAAAAATTAAAAATATAAGAAATCGAAGCAACAAGATAGAAACCTTTTAATCGTGATGTGATAAGACGGAGAACAAGGAAACTTTGAAAAAGCCCAAGTACATGTTTGACCTGTTGTTGGCCTAGAACTTATACTCCCCAGATCTATATACAGCATCAAAGAAGCGAATATTTGACGTGAAAAAAGGTCGCGAAAGCTTTATTTAGAAATGTTACCACTCCCATGTTTCTTAACAGATTCAAAGTCTCAAATCTTCTGTAATAGTTCCTATCGTTAACAAAAAATTCTTCTTAGCATAAAAATTAAATATAGACACCCCAATTATAAAACTCATGACATCATGATTAAGAAAATTTTTACGAAACGATGAGTATTGAAACTTCCAGAACATTAAGAAACTGGAGTAATCAACATCGACCTTTTTTCTTATAATAAAATGAGTGTATCATACGTAATTAGGTTGTCCTCTCAATTTTCTGTCATTCTTCATTGAACTTTGCGTTTTTTATAAGATATTAGTATTAAGAATTTGATATCATTTTTCAGAATGGATTTGGTGTATGTCAGAGGAAAACGGTCAAGGAAAGTACCCATATTATTGACCGCCGAAATTGTCAATGCAATGAAAGCATTAATCAAAACGAGAGATGCCGTTGGTGTTTCTAATGAAAATAAATACGTATTTGCAGCGCCTTCACGAGGCTCCTTGAATTATCTCCGCGGGCCAGATTGCTTAAATGCTGTTGTAAAAAGTTGTCAATTGAAGAACCCCAGTGCAATAAAGAGTACTCAGTTACGCAAGTATGTTGCCACAGTTTCACAGATCATTGATCTGAACAGCTCAGAGCTCGATTGGCTGGCTAGGCATATGGGCCACGACATATCCGTGCACCGGGAGTACTATAGACTCCATGATTCAACGCTAGAGCTAGCTAAAGTTAGCAAACTTCTACTTGCGGTAGACGAAGGGAATTCTTCGAAATGGCTAGGCAGAAACCTTGATCAGATCCAACTTGATGGTAAGTAATTAAAAAATTTCCTAAAAGCTTTTTTGTTGCAAAAAGATGCAGCACCCAATGACCAAAGTGAAACTTTGCTGTAAAGTGAATTGGTCGAGCTAGAACGCTGTGTGATTTGTGTGCCTATCTGAAACCCTCTAGTACAAAAGGAAGGTTTCATTAGGCAAAGGAATTTCATCGACAAACAAGCCATTCTGCACGTATGAAAATTGCGTGATATTCTTATCAATTCTTTCTCAGTGCAGTTGATTAATCAGAGACTTGATCTTTTTTATCACTTGTCTGAAATATGCTTTTCACAAGTAAAGGTTGTCAACGCATATTTTACCCACACATTATACTGGCTATTGCAAATAAATCTGTTTGGTCCAGTATATCAATACGGAGTATAAATATGTGAAAGTAGACTACAGGAGGCAAAAGGAATTCAGGGAAGCTGTTTTCAATAGTGGCTGGATGTATTTTGTTCTATCCGTATAAAAATCTTGTCAACAAAAGCAATAATTCTCTTTGATTCAACTCTCTATATAAATCCATGGTTTCTCCCATACATTTCCTTTCCTACATTAGATCTACCAATGGAACAAGCAGAGGTCAGCAGTGACGAAGAGAGTGATGGTGATGACGGTGGTGTTGGGGAGCACCATGGAGATGTTGATATGGAAAGTGAGCCAGAAAAGGAGGATGGTGAGATTTGCAATCCACATCACTTTTTTCAAAGTACTTGGTTGATAAACTCTGCGTAATAACTGCTAAACAGCAGTCTTTATTCTATTTTGTGCGATGATGAATTTTAAATAAAAAGTAAAAATTTCACTTAAAATACTCTTAGGTTTCTAACAAACGGGGGACACTTATAAATTTTTTAAGTTTCATTTCAACAAAATACCATAATGCAAAATCTTTGTAAAAAGTGTGAATTCTAAAATGCTTTTGTCATTGTTTTTCCTTCTCTTTGCTCACGTGCTTCATGGTCCTCATTTAAAAAAACAAATTTGAACCATGATTACTTGTCTGCCTTTGGCACATTCATCTGCAATTCTCAATGACCATATTTCAAGCTGGCCTGGGATTAAATTGCCAAAAAAACTGGCATATTCATTTTAATGTACAATTGTTATTGCGTCTGTGCGATGAATTTTCGTGCAATGATGAATTGTTCGTAAATATGTTAACCATGCCTTCCCCAACCAAAGCAACAAATATCGCTTATAACAGTAATAATTCTTATATCAAAGAGAACAATGATACCTTGTCTATGATCTTTCAAAATCCAAGAAACAGTGCAACAAATTTGTGTTATTTTCCCCTAGGTCATGCAGGGAAAAGGCGAGTAGGCAAACGGAGTCGATGGGGTAAAGAGGAATCGTCTGTTGTGTTAAAGCATTATGCTGACAAGATTAAGAAAGGCGTTTTGCCAGGGAAATCGGACGCAACCCAACTTATCACAGAAAGTGCAGTCCTAAAGAATCGGACATGGCAAAATGTTAAAGACTTTGTACGAAATCACATAGCTAAGGCTAAACGACTTTCTTCAAAATAGGTTATTGGTAATCTGTAATGTACAAATCTCACGGTCTAAACTTAAGTTTTAAAAAAACCCAATTTTTAGGTTAATTTAATGCTCTACACCCCCTAGCTAAAGTTTCTTGAAACATCCCTGTATGCACCCCCAACAATCGTCTGTCTATTGCTTAGTGAAATATAGATACTTATTGAGAAACTGCGCTCAAAAGGGGTGGAATGCAGTTATAAACTTTTTAACTCCATAAGATGATCAATCGAGTTTCATTCTACCTAAAACATCATTTTCTATATGAAATACTTTCATGATCCTGGAAATAAGCTTATTACACCAATAATGTTGCGAAATAGGAAAGAACTCGAATTTTCAATGTAACAAATACATAAATCTCTTATTAGAGCGCAATTCAGTACAGTCGTATACGTTGCTAGTTACAGTAACATTTATAATTTTGATTCAGTTTTATTACCATTTTACGTGATTTAATCTTGTTGTGTCAGTGGAAAAAGTTATTATTAATTTAAGATGATCAATCGAGTTTCATTCTACCTAAAATTTGTAATTATGTTAACTTGTAAGTAAAGTAATTCTGTTTGCTGTTTTCTGAGATTTATTGTTAATTTGTACTTATGTTCTGAGATTTATTATTAATTTGTAATTATGTCAACTTGTATGTATGGTAATTGTGTTGGCGATGGGCCATTTCGGCCTACAAGCCTTATATAAAAAAAAACATCATTTTCTATATGAAATACTTTGATGATCCCGGAAATAAGCTTATTACACCAATAATGTTGCGAAATAGGAAAGAGCTCGAATTTTCAATGTAACAAATACATAAAATCTCTTATTAGAGCGCAATTCAGTACAGTCGTATACGTTGCTAGTTACAGTAACATTTAAAACTTTGATTCAGTTTTATTACCATTTTACGTGATTTAATCTTGTTGTGTCAGTGGAAAAAATAATTTACGCGCTAAATGTAGATGCCAGGATCACTTTGACTGAACAAAGGAAAATATTTTGTTGTTAAAGTGCTATTATGTTAATTTTTCTCTGATTATTGGTAATCTGTAATGTACAAATCTCACGGTCTAAACTTAAGTTTTAAAAAAACCTAATTTTTAGGTTAATTTGATGCTCTACACCCCCTGGCTAAAGTTTCTTGAAACATCCCTGTATGCACCCCCAACATTCGTCTGTCTATTGTTTAGTGAAATATAGATACTTATTGAGAAACTGTGCTCAAGAGAGGTGGAATGCAGTTATAAATTTTTTAACTCTATAAGATGATCAATCGAGTTTCATTCTACCTAAAACATCATTTTCTATATGAAATACTTTCATGATCCCGGAAATAAGCTTATTACACCAATAATGTTGCAAAATAGGAAAGAACTCGAATTTTCAATGTAACAAATACATAAATCTCTTATTAGAGCGCAATTCAGTACAGTCTTATACGTTGCTAGTTACAGTAACATTTATAATTTTGATTCAGTTTTATTACCATTTTACGTGATTTAATCTTGTTGTGTCAGTGGAAAAAGTTATTATTAATTTAAGATGATCAATCGAGTTTCATTCTACCTAAAATTTGTAATTATGTTAACTTGTAAGTAAAGTAATTCTGTTTGCTGTTTTCTGAGATTTATTGTTAATTTGTACTTATGTTCTGAGATTTATTATTAATTTGTAATTATGTCAACTTGTATGTATGGTAATTGTGTTGGCGATGGGCCATTTCGGCCTACAAGCCTTATATAAAAAAAAAACATCATTTTCTATATGAAATACTTTGATGATCCCGGAAATAAGCTTATTACACCAATAATGTTGCGAAATAGGAAAGAGCTCGAATTTTCAATGTAACAAATACATAAAATCTCTTATTAGAGCGCAATTCAGTACAGTCGTATACGTTGCTAGTTACAGTAACATTTAAAATTTTGATTCAGTTTTATTACCATTTTACTTGATTTAACCTTGTTGATTAATTGATAATCACAAGAGATTTGCAAGATTGAAGAATTATCTCGAACATGATTTAAGTCAGCGAGAAAAAGCGATAATATGTCTTGTGTGTTTATTTTGTCCCCAGAGGTCCGGTGATGAGCAAACGTCATGGGTGTAAAAAAGTCCCCACAATGTACACGTACATTTGTTACATCAACATTGTGGGGACATTTGAGAAACTGGGTAGAAGGTTTAGAATTGATGATTTTAAGGGAAAAGAAGCAATGTACGTTGTGGGGTCCAGATTTTTGTCCCCACAATTACGACAGTCCTCAGAGTGCTGGTGTGTAGTCATACTTTTGTCCCCACAAGGTAGGTTATGTGAGCAC